CATGAGCAAAAAGTATTTACACTCAACCACCACCATACAACTACATCTGATAGCAGTAGACTATCAAAGAATACGCCAAGACCTCGCACCCGAGTTCTTCCTGAAAAAAAAACGACACGGGTATACACTCGGGGGCTCGGCCAGCATCACAGATTAATCAACACTAAGCTAGGGAATCCGGCCCTCATTTCAACTACTCCCGGGGGCTCAGAACCAAAGACAAAAGACAAAAAGGACAAGAAACTCAAGACTACAACGACGACAACGCATCAAGACTCTTCAACCGACTTCTTTTTCAAAAGAAAAGAACTCAAGAAAGCACGAGGTCATGGGATACATAGCCCGAAATTTTTTGAAGACAGAATCTGATCCTCCAACTTTTGCAAGCAAAAGCAAGAGGCTCGGGGCTACACTCGGTGAGTGCAATTTTTATGAAAAATTGCACCCACCCAAAAAGAACCCGGACATAGGCTCGGAGGCTGCACACCACGAAACTACTCGGATGATGGTTTAATCCAAGACTAAAGGACCGCTTCGGAAAGATACCACGAAACTACTCGGATGATGGTTTAATCCAAGACTAAAGGACCGCTTCGAAAGATACCACGAAACTACTCGGATGATGGTTTAATCCAAGACTAAAGGACCGCTTGGAAGATACCACAAAAACTATTCGGATAAGGACAAAAATTCAAATCTCGTGGATTACTTGAGAGCACGATTTTCAAACAAACATAAAGGATCAAGACCCTCCAACTTTTTGTTCCAAATAGCAAGAGGCTCGGGGCTACACTCGGTGAGTGCACTTTTCTCCGAAAAAGCGACGTCACCAAAAGACCCTCTTCAACGCAGACTACTTCAAGACATTATGACAAAAAGAACCCGGAACGAGCCATATTCGAGTTCTTTTTGACAAAACTTCAACAAACAATCAGAGCAACTTCAAGACAAGATCCTCTAGCTCCTTGTTCCAAATAGCAAGAGGCTCGGGGGCTACAACCAGATGGATGTACTTTTTGTTCACAAAACACTCACCACTCGAAGGTCCCAAGAAGCGCTACAAGGTTTCACTCCAGAAAGCACTCGGATAACATTTTGTTCCTACCTAACAAGACTTGAAGGAGCAAAGCGAGACTTTCAGAGCTCAACCATGAAGTGCTCGGGGGCTTATCGATGCGGGACCCACAGGATACCCCGCAAGAGAGAGAGAAGATCTAGTTCAACTAGGATTCTTCCCATGTAATCTTAGTAATAGAACTATTAAGTAATCCTACTAGGAAATCTCATTGTAAACCGATTAGGACTCTAGCCTCCTGACTGTATAAAGGAGGGCAGGGCTCTTGAAGAAGGTATGGTACGACATAACACTTCATAATCAATCCAACGCAAAAGGCAAACGCTGACTGGACGTAGGGTTGTTACTCGATCTTCGATCGAGGGCCTGAACCAGGATAAATCGACTGTCTCTTGCGTTTACCATCGAGTTCAGCATAAGCCAAAGCCCAAACTATACTGCCACGGTACCCCTGTGGCAGGCTATCGGTGGTAAAACATCGACAGCAACAAAAGAAGGCCGAGGCCTTCAGAGTCCTCCGGTTCTGAAAAGCCTCCGAAGGAGTATTATACTCCTCCTCAGACTCGGGGCTACTGTCGGGGACCAATATTAGGGTACCCGAAGAGGAGCTAATAACCATCAACATTGATTCATCCGAGCAGTCAAGAGCACGACTATAGCTCCAATCAACCCCCAGGTGCGCAAGCTCCGCCTCGCCCGACACCATGAGCCTGGGCTCCGCCTCGCCCGACCTCAAAGGGTTGGCTCTGCCTCGCCTGGCCTCAGAGGATGGGCTACGTCCCGCCTGACCTCTAGGGGCAGGCTTCGCCTCGCCCAACACTGAGGTCGCGGGCTCCGCCTCACCCAACCCTTGGGTTTGCTCTCTGCCTCGTCTGACCTCTTAGGGTGGGCTCTACCTCTCCCAGCACTGAGGCCACGGGCTCCGCCTCACCTGACCTCTAGGGCTGGGCTCTGCCTCACCCAACCCTTGGGTTTGCGCGCCGCCTCGTCCGACCTCTAAGGGCAGGCTCTGCCTCGCTCGACACTGAGGCCGCGGGCTCCCCATCACCTAACCTCTGATGGTGGGCTCCGCCTCACCTGACACCGAGGCCGCGGGCTCCGCCTCGCCCGGCCTCTAAGGGTGGGCTCTACCTCACCCAACCCTTGGGTTTGTGCTCCGCCTCGCCAGGCCTCTAGGGGACTTTGCCTCGACTGACCCCGAGGCCGGGGGATCCATCTCGCTCGACGGAGACCCATACCGCCGCCAACCACTCTAGGTCTAAGCGAATGGGCCTGGATCAAAGCTCTGACGCTAGGGAGGTGACCGACACGCCCCGATATAACCCGTGGCCATGACGGGCCATTCCTGGGGATTCACATCAGGAACAGCATCGGGCGTACCGGTGCTGTTCTGCCTAACCCTCATACGAGCACTGATAGGCGCGTCAGTTCACCACGACCGGGAGACGACACCTGCACATGGCGCCAGTGATGGATAGGGCCACGACGTGGAGCTGTCCTTGTTGATGTCTACAGGGTTGGCGGGATCCGCGTGAAGGAAAAGAAGGACCCGACGATCCTGGAGGACTTCTTTTCCTTCTCATTCTCCTCTTTTCCCTCCACTGTAACCCGTGCTTTCCCTTGGCCTATAAAAGGGAAAGCAGGGCGTCCCATGAAGGGGACTCGAACCCATCAAACTCTGAACCGATCAGAACACACAAGCACACAGCCGAGAAGCGACCGAGCTCTCGGCACCCGTTCGCTCCTCTCACCAGAGACTTGGGACCTATCCCTCTCTCGACCGTTTGTAACCCCTACTATGAACTTTCAGTGCTAGTAACACAAGCAGCAGCAACAAACTAGACATAGGGACATTCTACCCGAATCAGAATAAACCTCATGTCCTCTTAGCGCACCATCCGAGCCAGACGCGCAATATTAGAAATTTACTTGTCGGTGGCAACTCGAAACACCGATAAATCACTACTACAAAAAAAAGTTCAGAGGCAGTAAAAAATGAACTATAGAGGATGACAGTGGTACCAATGGCCTTTGGCCTAGGGCCATTGTCAACCAAAGATTAAAGAGGCAGATTCCTTTGCCACCTCTGCAAATGTTTTTTTGAAATAAAAAGCCTAGCGAGCCCATAGACAAGGCCCAATGAGCCCATCGAACTTACGCTGGCCATAGGGCCCTACGCCAATACCTATGAGCACACTGCTGCCACCCGTGTGGTATATGTGCCACATCTACTCTAGGAACACCGTCAATCTACGCAGGAGTCCTCGAAATGCCATGGAGGCTAGCGTTGTTGATTGCTAGGCATTTGGATATGCACAGGATCTGCTCTGCTCTCAGACAAACCTTGGCAATGGCGGCGATGGGGTGCTCACTGGTTCCCTGAGAAAGGGGCCAAGTTCGCCGCTTTGGACCCGTCCAACCTTGCCATTGTAGCTCGTCGAATCCTAGGGCTAGGAAGTTCAAGAAGGGCGGTGAGCTCATCATGGACACTGCTACTTTATTAGGGCAACGCCACTATCACTTGAGATCTGGCTGAAGGAGGCCACGAGACATGTTGGTACCACCGCCGTTGGGGCCAAGGGATGCTGCGGCCCCCTCACGCCACTATGTTATTGGTCGCCCTTGCTGTCCCATAGCACTAGCCTTGAAAGTTCCGCCGCGCCACTGCCCAATCCGCCGTGCCTGTGGCTGGATCTGCCATGCCACCACCCGATCCACCACACCCGCAGCATGATCCACCATTGGAGGGGCCTTTTGAGAGCCCATCTCGAATGGCAGGCTGCCCACGAGAAAGAGCACGTGGAAGGGGCTAGCTGGCTTGTGCTCGTGGTGGGCTGGGGGCGGCAGTGAAAGAGCCAATTCGGGGGGAGAGAGGGAGAGAGAGAGAGAGAGAGAGAGAGAGAGAGAGAGGATGGCTTCTTCCAGGCGTTGCAGGTACAACTTGATCAATAGCTAGGGTTTCTCTCAGGGTTATTGAGGTATTCTACGGAACCTCTTCTTTATTGTGCTGCTTGCTGCACACCTGGGGAACCTCTCCTAGGTTGGTTCTAGTGCCCTTGATCAAAGCAAAGCCAATTTGGTTTTGTTTATAACACAATAATTCACCAAGTGCTTTCCCTAATTGTCTTATCATCAACCCAATGCAACATAGGCAGCACAATAAGTAGTAAGCATTCGACGGTCTCAGTCAGCATCAATTCTGTTGAGAAAAGGATACATTATATTGAGACAATTCAGTGGATATATATCATCTATCTTTTGGACCAGAGAACAAATACATACATTTGGAAATGTTTCTATATATATATAGATAGGCAGCATATAATGAAGTAATAAGCACTCGACAAGTCGACAGTGCCAGTCCACATCAACTTGCTATTGACAACAGAATTAAAAAAAAAACTTGAGACAATTAGGTGGATAGAATCAACACACATTATGGATTTCAGTCTTCCGTGCTTATTCCGCAAACCATGCATGTGATGTGATATGCATGGGTCTTACAAGCAAACCACTAGGCTGGTTTACATAAATACATGCACACACATGGAGTCCTGCTGCTGCATATTCTATAAAGCTAAGTATAAAGCATCATATGGCAAGATAGAGGTAGGACATGAAGAAGGATCACCCTGCTAAGTAGTATATATAGTAGCTACTACTAGTAAATACATACATATCCATCGCTAAGGTAGAGACTAATTCAATCTCGTGCCAAGCAAGCAGATGTGGCAATCCTGAAAGGGAAGCCTACACCATAACAAACTTTATTTAGTATTAGGGCATCCATGCATCAGGGTGTGTACGTACCTACGCACTGTGGTGAGCTCTGACATATCATGCCATGACTCGGTCCCCTGGCCCGGCCGGCACTGAAACTTTTGCTACCTCACCTATCATCATGCTTGCTACATATATATGCTTGTTAGTATTTGCCCTGGTGGTGAGCGTACTGCTTAAACTTGCCCTGGTGTCCGTGCGTGTACTTGCCATGGCCGTAACCACCACCGCCATAGCCGCCGCCACCGTATATGCCATATCCGCCGTGATGCTTGTGGTATGCTCCATAAGTAGCATAAGCTCTGGGGGGAGGTGCTGGCACTGGCCACCCCATGTGCGCCTCGCCATAGCCGCCCCCATGATGACCATGTGTAGGACCCATCACGGTACCTTGGTATGGTGGTGGGTAGTCCCGCCCATGTGTAGGAGGATAATAGCCGCCGCCGCCACCACCACCATAGTAGGCACCACCCTCACTATCCCAACCCGGGTGAGGGTGGCCATACCCATACGACGGCGGCTGTTTTTTAGGAGGGTCGACTGCAGATGGAGGAGGCTTGCCGCCCTCACGATTGGGACTCGCTTTCGGCATGTCCTCTGCCTCTTTACATGCATCTGGAGGTGGTGGTTCCTGCCCCGGACATGGAGGCTTGCTCTCTGGTTTCTTGTTCACTGACGGCGGGGGGTCGTGTGCCCCATCGTCCCAATCCACGTGACGACGACGAGGAGGAGGGGGAGGGGGAGGAGCAGGGTATCCGTCGTATGCCCCGCTATCCCACCACCCGCCGCCGCCGCCACCACCACCATATGCCGATGGCTTTCCAGGAGGATATGATGGAGGACCGTATCCGTATCCGTATGTGTATCCTCCTCCTCCTCCTCCTCCACCACCACCAGCAGCAGCAGCAGCAGCATAGTGCCCGTGCCCCACCGCTTGCTGCCGCTTGTACTCGCGATTACCACCCACGTTGAAGGTGTTACCGTTGTTCATATGTTGTTGACCAATATCCCCAAAATTAAACTTGGGCTCCCATTGCATCCCTAGCCAGATTGACAAAAACGTACATATAGAGAGATATTAGAAAACACAAGCTACGTACGTTCTACAACTAATATAATTAATTAATAATAGATTCATGGGAGATGGTTAAGGGACATATTCTATTACCCATCGAGGAACGAAGAAGCTAGATCGATGAAGCTACTGCAGCTAGCCGACCGGTATGTCTCGGTGGTGTTGGGGATGCTGTGGTGTGCATGGAGGACGGACTAGCTAGCCATATATATAGGCCAGGAGGCCGGCAACCGGATCGGTACAGTACAACCCAACTGACTTGTGGACCTCGTATCTGGAGTGACTCGCCAGTCTGGTTGTTCGATCACCACACATTTGGTTCTTCGATTAATTTGGGTGGAGGATAAGCCTTTTCTTTTTCTTTGGGTGGAGGATATATAATTTATCTTTTGACTATTATTATTTAAAGCTTTTGTGAAGGTAATATCAGGAATCTGCAAAAAATAAATCTATTTGCGGGTTCCTGCATAAGCCCGCTTGCATCCCTAGTGGCAACAAAGATTTTGCAGCGCTCAGCGGAAGAAAGAATTACTCACTCCTCAATATTAGATATAGATATAGATGATAATGTCTCCATTGAATGACTAGGATTACTGCACATAGAGAAAAAGAGTGAGGAAAGAGAGAGTATGCTAGCTTGTATTTCCCCGTTCTAAATTATAAACCATTCTGTCTTTTCTAAACAATGGATTTTACTACGCATCTGGATATACATTATATCTAGATATATAAAAACCATATATCTAGAAAAGCTAAAATGACATATGATTTAAAACCTCATCTCTAGCTGGCATACATCCCAAGCTTTCACCGCTATGCCTATGCATCCAGGCCCCTCATCACAATTTACCACACACCACACATGTCATGTCCTCATCACCCAAGCCTGTTCATGGCGTGTCTTACATGTGTAGACGTGCGGCTCATCTTCCACCTTTCCTAAACTCACAATAGGGCCTTGTTTAGACGATGGTTGGGAATCAGTATTTGGCACTGTAGCACTTTTATTTGTATTTGACAATTATTATCCAATCATGGCCTAACTAGGCTCAAAAGATTCGTCTCGTAATTTACAATCAAACTGTGTAATTAGCTATTTTTTTATCTACATTTAATACTCCATGCATGTGTCTAAAGATTTGATGTGATAGAGAGAGAGTGAAAAAACTTGGAATCTAAACAAGGCCTAGATGCACACAATACCTATCTATTTAAGTTGAATTAATTCCTAAAATATTTGATCAATAATTTGGATAACAATTTTAAGCTATTATATATAAGTTTTATACCGTTAGATTTGTTGTGATTAAATGAACTATCCAACTACCATAAATTTATAAACACAAACAATCTCCACACCTAAAAAACGGTAACATCATCATCTACCCGGTGATACCAAATCTCGATCCGTCACGCGTCCATGTCCGATACGAATAATCCTCCACTCGGAGCTCACGTGTCCATGTCTTACCCGGTTTCAATGCTAAGAGTAGATCCACATGTCCGCGTCCGATATAAAGTTCTTGGAGCTCACACGTCTACGTTCGATTATTGAGATTTAATCTAAAAATCATAGCCCTGGTGCTACGTACGAACATATATCTAGTATAATATAAAATTAATAAATGGTCAAAGTGTAATTTATATGATTTTGTCATGTCAAGCTGTGTCCTAGAAAACAAAGTGTAATTTGCGTGCAATGGACGGAGCCTCACAGCCTTAGACAAGTGTAAAGATTCCACCTCGCTATGAATGGATAGGCTAGAATATAATCTCGACGACGACGACCGAATACGAATAGAGCATCAAGAGGGCCTGGCGCGGGAAACGTAAGAACCACCTCGAGCTCGGAATAGCCACCGTGAAAACAAACCACACGAGCAAGCATCATTCCGGTCCCAAAGAGGCAAAGCCACCTGAGATTCATATCCACCGCCACTTCTCGATCGGTGACCTCCGGCTAAGTGCGAACTTGTGATTGAGTCACGCTGACGGAGGCAACGTTAAAGTTAAACAACAAATATGTAGTGGCCTACTATGCCTATCAAACAGCAATTTTAAAAGATACAGCACTAAGGCCCTGTTTGGCATCTTGGTAATATTTTTCAGCTGTAAACAAGTTCCAGATGTATTTTCTAGTGGACAACAACACCACCGGAATTTTATGTCGGCTGTAAAATGTTGTTTGGGTATTCAGATTTGACAACAATACACTATAGACGAGTAGAAAACGAATGATGATCAGAGAACAATATAGAAGAACACAAGCTATAGCTGTAGCCGAAGATCATGAGCATGACACCAATCTGAATCATATCGTTGATGAAGCACTTGCTTGCTTTCCTTGTTCCTCACACAATCACAAAGTTCAAACAAAGCGCTTGCCCCACGGCGCTGTCACTGGTTCTCCGGAGAGTAGCAGGCAATCTGATGAAGTATTTGCGACGATGCGTGGCTGCTGCGAAAGACAGAAGCGCGAAGGAGGGCGGCGATGGCGGCTGAGATGCCGGTGTGCTAGCACCTTGGTGATGAGCGATTGACAACACGGTGTGCGTGTGACGTATCTTTCGGCAGGTTGTGGTTGTAGGTGATAGGTGGAGACAAGGTACATGCGGCGACGAGTGAAGAACGAGGATAGGATGCCGTGCCGAAGAACCATGGGGGCGGAGAAGGGCGGATCGAGGCTTGCGTTCGAGGGACAGGCGATCGTGTGGTGTACGTCTACTGTACCTGGCTACACGGTGGGAGGACGTCGAGGGAGGTTTCCGGATTATGCCACAAAATCCGGGGTTCGCTGGTTGAGCCACAAAGCCATGCATCGTACCGAGACGCTCGTGCGGCGTGCGTTGGCCGAAGATGGAAATTCTGGCGATCGCGATACGATTTCGGATGGTCGTGCGGCGACATCGCGAGGATCACATCGCGGAGATGGAGGGATCGCGGACATCGCGGAATTTGCCATGGAGGACATAATTGGAATTTACGCCCCTACGTTGGATTTATTTAGCGTAGGGGGTTATATGAAAATAGGTCGTGCCACCCTTTGGAGATATAAATATGTGGCACCTAGGGTTGAGAAGGGTACGACGTTTTGGACTCCCGGCGAGTTACTATTCATGCGTGAACAGTACCCCGTGAACAATACTCGTGCCCCGGGGTTCCACGGTTCAGTATTCCTCTCTCCGGTCTAGCCTATGGTTTGAATTCTAGTGAGAGGTTTTTGTTGATCTCTCCGATTAAGAGAGGGAGGATGTTCGGGCGGAGGTTAGATGCACTTTTATAAGTTCAATTACTCAATTTAATCTTTCATCAATAATGATTGATCTTGTGCATTTCGATTTGTTCTTTACAATTCTCGTTAGCATCTGACATAGTCTGCTTGTTTTATTTTTATCTCAAGATCCGTAAGTCAGATTGACGTGTTTCCAGTTAGGTTAGTTTCGTAATTTCATCTAGTTTAATCTGACAAATTTTTAGGTCGATCGGAGTTACGGATTTTCGTCCACATCAGGTTTACTAGGTACATAGAGTTCTGTCCAGATTAAAAAAAAACGTGATTTAGTCAGGTTTTGTGTTTAGGGGAAGGGTTATAAATTTTTGGCTTCCGCGACCATTCACCCCCCCTCTGGTCGCCCGTTTCGATCCTTCAATTGGTATCAGAGCCGGTTTAGGTTTTCTATACCTTAATCGGTGCTGAAAGCTATGGCGACCAATGAAAAGTTTGATGTTCGCGCTCCGTTTTTTGATGGGACTGATTATGATTACTGGAAGGCACGTATGACCAACTATCTCAAAGGCAAGTCACTGAAGCTATGGAAAATCACACAAAATGCCACATATGTGATTCCAGCTGAGGAACCGACTGACGCCGCTGAGATCGGGCTTCTTGAAACAAATCATCGCGTTGTTGCTATTTTACAGGCTTCTATTTGTAAAACTGAATATGATCGGGTTTCTAGTGAAGATCTCGCTTATCAGATCTGGGAGAAACTTAGAAAATATCATGAAGGCTCAAACACTGTGAAAAACCGAAAATTTGAGAATCACCGAAAAGAGTTTGATGCTTTTTGCCAATTGCCTAGTGAGTCTATTGATGACATGTTTGCACGTTTTCAAGTGATTGTTAATAAGATGAAGGCCATGAATAACAATATGCCTTATGATGATCATGCTAGGGCTCTCAGATTATTACATTCACTTAATGATGAATGGGATATGAAAGTTGAGGCGATCGTTGAATCTGTAGGTTACGAGACTCTCACCACTGATGAGCTTTACAGTAAGCTCAAATCAAAAGAGATCGAAATTGTTTCTAAGCGTAAATTGAAAAATCCCACAGCTGCTTCTTCTTCTGACGTTCCAATGGCTTTGGTTTCTGGAAATAACACTAACACTAATGCTAATCCAAATGTTTCCAGTTTTGCTTTGTCTTCTTTGTGTCATGTTGCAGATGAGGAGTTGGAGGTGCTAGATGATGATCAGCTTGTACTGCTCTCCAACAAGTTTAAGCGTGTGTATGACAACAGGCGTAATAGAAGACGTTCAGATGGCTGCTTCAACTGTGGTGAGCGAGGACACTTTGCTGCTGATTGCCCAAACAAGCATAGATCTTTTGAGCAGGGCAATAACTCCTTCAGGCGTCAGGAGAAGTTCAGGGAGAGGAAGAAGAAGAAGGATAAGCAATGGAAGAAAGACGGACAAAAATAATCTGACAAGCAAGTCGCTAAGGCTGCAAATGTTTTGTTATCTTCTCTTGGACAGTATGTTTCAGGTGGCTCGTCAGACTCCAGCGATTCAGATTCCGAGGATGAGACACCCAAGAAGAAGACAGACGGACTTTGCTTCATCACTGACGCCGGCATCAATGGTGGGATATGTACTATGGCCTTGGAGGGTGATGCATCAACCGACAGCAACGATGAAACTTCTGATGATGAGGTTGGAGGCGAGGAGGACATATGGATAATGGACTCCGGTTGTTCGCGCCACATGACCGGAGATGATAAATGGTTCTCCAGCCTCACCCCCACGAGCGTAAAGGAAAACATCACTTTTGGGGATAAAAGTCAAGGTAAGGTAATGGCGCATGGCTGCATCAAGGTAACAGATAAATACACGTTAAAGGACGTCGCATTGGTAAAGAATTTGCATTATAATTTGCTGTCTGTTTCGCAACTTCTTGAGGATGATTTTGAGGTTCGTTTTAAGAAAGGAAATTCGCATGTTCTTGATTCTGCTGGTAACCTTGTTTGCAAGATTTCTCCTTTTAGACGGATTTTTAAAGCTGATTTTTCTAAATCTTTTGGCGAAACTCGCTGTTTAGTTGCTCATGGTTCCCCCCTGATTTGGAAGTGGCATCGTCGGTTGGGCCACTTGAGCTTTGATTTGCTTTGTCGTTTGAGTTCATTGGATTTAATTGATGGTTTACCGAAACTCAAGTTTGAAAAGGATTTGATTTGTGCTTCCTGCAAACATGGAAAAATGGTTGCTGCTTCTCATGCACCTCGCGGACTCGGTGATGACGAGACGAACGGGTGAACTGCTACATATGGACATTTGTTGGTCCAGCCCGTGTTCGGCTCATCGGGTGGGAAGTGGTATGTGCTCGTCATTGTGGACGATTTTTCTCGATATTCATGGGTGTTCTTTTGGAATCTAAGGATGAGGCTTTCTCACATGTTCATGATCTTGTTCTGAAGCTGAAAAATGAGTTGTCAAATAATGCCGTTAGAGCAATTCGCAGTGACAACGGTACGGAATTCAAGAATTCTCGCATGAAAGCTTTTTGTTCAGAACAAGGTTTAGATCATCAGTTTTCCTCACCTTACGTTCCTCCCGTAAGCGGTGTTGTTGTTGAGTAAAATCGTCGACGCTTGTTGAGATGGCTAGGACAATGCTTGATGAACATAAAACTCCTAGACGTTTTTGGGCTGAGGCTATCAACACCGCTTGCTATGTTGCTAATCGCATTTTTCTGAGAGCTTTTCTGGGAAAAACATCTTATGAGTTGAGATTTGGTCGACCTCCCAAAGTTTTCCACTTTCGAGTTTTTGGCTGCAAGTGTTTTATATTGAAAAAGGGAAATTTGGATAAATTTGAATCGCGTTCTTCCGATGGGTTATTTTTGGGGTATGCCTTGCAAGGGCGAGCGTACCGTGTGCTTAATCTTGATACTAACCGCATCGATGAGACATGTGAGGTCACCTTCGACGAGACAATGCCTTGTTTTTCTTCTCTTTTTTGAGTGTGCGGTGATGACGAGATCAAGGCGGGATATTTTTGAGGATGAGAAAGAGGAAGATGGATGTGGCGACGACGATGACGATGATGCCCAACCTGCGATGTAGGGGGATCTTGGCGCCCGGAAAGCGAGCGCCCTCCACCACTTTGGAGGATGGACCATCGCCGACACGCATACATCTCACAAAAAACTGCGCAGCTTCACCGATCGTTGATCATGTACCTACCTGCAGCTTGAGGGGAGGCGATTTCAGTAACGTGACACAACGACACACACATTCGTAATCGTCATCCCGCCAAGAACATAATAGGTAATTTGGATGAACGCATACGACAAGGAACAGAGGTATGAAAAATAAAAATTATTGTGTCTTTGCGCATACTGCCTTTGTTGCCTCTTTTGAACCCCGAGATGTTGGACATGCTTTATCTGATTCTAACTGGGTCAATGCCATGCATGAGGAGTTAGAAAATTTTGCACGGAATCAGGTTTGGGTTTTGGTTGATCCTCCTCCTTCTTGTAAACCAATTGGAACTAAATGGGTCTTTAAGAACAAACAAGGGGAAGGTGGTCATGTTGTTAGAAATAAAGCTAGGCTGGTTGCTCAGGGCTTTTCTCAAAAAGAGGATATTGATTATGGTGAAACTCTTGCTCATGTTGCTCGTTTAGAAGCCATTCGTATTTTGCTTGCATTTGCTGCTTCACGTGGATATAAGCTTTATCAAATGGATGTGAAAAGTGCTTTTCTGAATGGTTTTATAGAAGAAGTTTATGTTAAACAACCGCCTGGTTTTGAACATCCCAATTTTCCTGATCGTGTTTTTAAGTTGCAAAAGGCTTTATATGGTTTGAAGCAAGCACCTCGTGCTTGGTATGCTAGATTGAAAACTTTTCTGCTTAAAAACGGGTTCAAAATGGGTTCAGTTGATAAAACTCTTTTTCTCCTCAGGCAAGGAAATGACACTTTAATAGTTCAGATTTATGTGGATGATATCATTTTCGGTGGTTCCTCTCATGCTCTTGTGAAAAAGTTTGCAGATGTGATGAGTAAAGAATTTGAGATGTCTATGATGGGCGAGCTGAATTTCTTTCTTGGCTTACAAATAAAACAAACTTCGGAAGGTACATTTGTGCATCAAGGAAAGTACACGAAGGATGTCCTGAAGAAGTTTGCGATGGATGATGCGAAGCCAATTTCTACGCCCATGCCGACTAGCGCTGCTTTGGATGCTGATGAGGACGGAGAGCCCGTGGATCAGAAGGAATATCGAAGCATGATTGGGTCGCTGCTGTACTTGACTGCTACGAGGCCAGATATACACTTTGCTGTGTGTATGTGTGCTCGTTTTCAGGCGTCCCCCAGGACTTCTCACCGTCAGGCGGTGAAGCGCATAATGAGGTATCTTCGATTTACTCCTGCATTTGGCCTTTGGTACTCTGCTGCTTCAACTCTCAGTTTGTGTGGTTATTCGGATGCTGATTTTGCTGGGTGTCGTTTGGATAGAAAGTCTACATCGGGTACTTGCCAATTTTTGGGTTCTTCGCTTGTTTCTTGGTCCTCTAGAAAACAATCTAATGTTGCTCAATCTACTACAGAGGCTGAGTATGTTGCTGCTGCTAGTTGTTGTTCTCAGCTTTTATGGATGATAGCTACCCTTCGCGATTTTGGTTTGTCGTTTTCTCGCGTTCCTCTCTTGTGTGACAGCACTAGCGCTATAAGTGTTGCAAAGAATCCTGTGCTTCACTCTAAGACGAAACACATTGAGGTTCGTCATCATTTTCTGAGGGATCATGCTGAGAAGGGTGATATTAAGCTTAAATACATTGATACTAGTCAGCAACTTGCTGATATTCTGACTAAACCACTCGATCAAACCACGTTTGCACGTTTGCGTGGTGAGTTCGGGGTGTGTTACCCATTCTAGTATCATTGTAAGTTGCTTCAGTTAC